AAAATATGAGGCTTAAGACATTTATAAAAATGCCTTCTGCATTTTTGTTTTGCTTTTCACTCCATTGTACTGAAATCGTACCGAACCGTCTGAATGTCTGAACCAAGGTACGAACCCGACCCAACCATGACTTCTGTACCGTTCCACCCCTAATGCAGTTTCATTATTATTCATTACTATCCAGAGTGCGGCTTACTATAAATAATTTGTGCGACCAAATCATGTTTTGCGCCAGTAACTGAAAAGTTAGTGGAAGGAGGTGCTTCGGCGTAAAGGAGGTGGTGGTGGGCAAAGGTGGTGGAGATGGTGGTGGAAGGAGGTGGTGGTGGGCACAGACAGAGAGGCAGCACCTCATATAGACATAGCTAGAGTCCTTCGGCGTGAAGGAGGTGGTGGTGGGCACAGACAGAGAGGCAGCGCCTCATAGAGACATAGCTAGAGTCCTTCGGCGTGAAGGAGGTGGTGGTGGGCACAGACAGAGAGGCAGCGCCTCATAGAGACATAGCTAGAGTCCTTCGGCGTGAAGGAGGTGGTGGTGGGCACAGACAGAGAGGCAGCGCCTCATAGAGACATAGCTAGAGTCCTTCGGCGTGAAGGAGGTGGTGGTGGGCACAGACAGAGAGGCAGCGCCTCATAGAGACATAGCTAGAGTCCTTCGGCGTGAAGGAGGTGGTGGTGGGCACAGACAGAGAGGCAGCGCCTCATAGAGACATAGCTAGAGTCCTTTGGCGTGAAGGAGGTGGTGGTGGGCACAGACAGAGAGGCAGCGCCTTATAGAGACATAGCTAGTCCTTCGGCGTGAAGGAGGTGGTGGTGGGCACAGACAGAGAGGCAGCGCCTCATAGAGACATAGCTAGAGTCCTTCGGCGTGAAGGAGGTGGTGGTGGGCACAGACAGAGAGGCTGCGCCTCATAGAGACATAGCTAGAGTCCTTCGGCGTGAAGGAGGTGGTGGTGGGCACAGACAGAGAGGCAGCGCCTCAGAGACATAGCTAGAGTCCTTCGGCGTGAAGGAGGTGGTGGTGGGCACAGAAAGAGAGGCTGCGCCTCATAGAGACACAGCTAGAGTCCTTCGGCGTGGAGGAGGTGGTGGTGGGCACAGACAGAGAGGCAGCGCCTTATAGACCATTTCAATGGCGTAAACAATAACAGACGCGTTGGAATGCTACTGCGCATGTCTGGCCCTGAGGCACTTCCGGTGTCGCCATTTTTAAACTACAGCACAGTCAAAACAAAATGACTAGCTCATACTTTTTAAGTCTAGCTAAACCAGAACAGTTAAGATATTCAAAAAAACTTAAAATAGGCGATTGCGTGGAATTACCGGACCCTTTAAATCAGACGCTGAGGCGAGAACTATTCACTCAGAACGTAAAACATTTACCTGAAGTGTCGTATCCAGACGTGTACCATTATCTGGTGGAGACCGAGTGCGTCTACACGAGAGAAGCGGTTAAGGCATATCGTAGCCTAGATGCTTACAACTACTTCCTCAGTGGAAAAGTCGGAAACATTTGTTCCTACAATGTGGACGATATTTGTCTTGTATTTGGTGAAGTTGGAGCAAGTCAGACATTGTCAAAAACGTACTCTGCGTGGTTCGTTGCTAAGGTGACCGGGGAGGTTATTAGCGGGCATTGCACTTGCATGGCTGGGTAAATATGTCTATTTAAATAATAAATCACGTTGCTAATCCTTTAGTAAACAAATTGTTGTATTCTATTATTACCCATTGCATAATTAATTATTTCATACGATTGGAAATATTTGTGGTTGGGTTAGGTGAAGTGTGTAGCCATGTTGCTGCAATCCTGGTTGCTGTGGAACAGTGTGTTAGAGAAGGTTTGAATGCTCCATCTGTAACATCTGAGACCTGCATGTGGTCACGAATAAACAAGAAGGTGCATGCAATTCAATTCTGACTAACGTGTTTTTTGTTCTAATTTATTTAAATTAAAAATCTAATTCTAATCACATCCCTTATGAAAATGAAATACGGTTTTACTGCAAATAGAAAACAGGGTTATTGTAGTTAAACCATGGTAACCACAAAATATACATAAATAACAAAAATAACCATAGTTTTGCAACACTAGCCATAGTTTAATCATGGCATTAGTATTTAAAAAAAAAACGAAACAAAAACATGACTTCTTTTACTTGGTTAATAACCATAGTTAATTTTCATAAGGGATGTGTGTTGCTGCTTTTATATAAAAGTAGATACTCACTGTAAATGTATAATCCCACTTTGTTTTAGATTGATCCAAAACCAGTAGCAGACATAGACTTTTCCAAGCCTGTCAGACAAAGAGCAATTCAGAGTAGGGAGCCCATCTTACCCAGAGTAGTCACACCGGTCTCACCAAGCATGCTTTTTAAGTCATTAAAGGTAAGGAATTTTCAGAAACCTCATGACAATATGCAAAACACATGTTCCTACATGGTTTGCATGGATATAGTCACATAAATGAATACATATATGGAAATATGCACCATTTATACATGTATCTAACTATATCTGTGAAATAACTAAAAACTGCAAGAACACATTTCATGATTTTCCATACACATACTGTGTATGTGTGTGCATTTGTATGGATTGAATCGTCAAATAGGAACTTTTTAAGGACAAAGCAGGTCATAGAAAAGTAGTTATGATTTTGATTAGTTACTAGATTGTTAATATTGTGTGTTACTCATTTGTTCCAGTGTAGGTATTTATTAGCGAAGGAACCATATTCTAAAGTGTTATCAAATAATGTAAACCAAATGCAATACAGATATTTAACTACACTTTCATCAACATGTACATTCACATTTTTTTTAATTATCTGTATTGAGAGATGTGTTACACAAATAAATTTGACTATGATTTAATGTGATTCTGATTTCAGAATGAGATCCCAGACTGTGCACTGTTTACCACTATAACTGTAGGTAGTGATACAGACACTGCATCTGAGGGAGAGCAGGAGAACACAGACAGAGTTGATGTTCTTACTACAGCTGAGGCAGATTCTAGTGAGAAATCACACGTAGCAGTTCTGAGTGACAGCACTGTAGATGCAACAAACTTGCCAAAGCCCCTTACACATCTTTTTGATGAGAAGCACAGTTTATTGTCACATGATGAACTACAAAATGAGCTAGATAAAATCATGCAAACCATCCCTACTTACTTTAATGAACTGAATTGTAAGCACCTCCAAGAAAGCACACTAGGTCAGTCCTCTTGTGAACAGTGGTTTGAGCAGAGACAGGGCAGAATCACAGCTAGCCACTTTAATGAAGTGTTAAGAAGCAAGACAAGTCAAGCTAGCGTGACATCAAAAATTATGGGCTACACATCCAGCAGAAATGTACCAGCCTTAGCTTGGGGAAAGAATAATGAAAAACTAGCAAGAGAAGCATTTACTTCAAACCAGATGACTTGTCATGACAGCTTGATAGTGGAAGAAGTTGGGTTAGTAGTAAATCCAAAATTTCCTCATTTAGGAGCCAGCCCAGATGGAATAGTCCATTGCAAGTGCTGCCCACGTGCAACACTTGAAATAAAATGCCCCTTAAAGTATGCAAATATGTCCATAACTGATGCTATCAAGAGCAAAGATTTCTGTCTGGGAAAAAACTTTGAGCTTAAACAGAACCATGCATACTATGCACAAGTTCAGGGGCAAATGGCAGTGTGTGAACTGAAAACATCTTTCTTTGTCATTTGGACAACAGAGGACTGCCACATTCAGAAAGTAGACTTCTCTGAAGAGTACTGGGCTCAGATTAGAACAAAACTGGACCTCTTCTACAGACAGCACATTCTCACAGAAATTTGCACACACAAACTGATGAAACAATTTCTGATCGCAGAGACTTCCTGTTTGTGTAAAAGCAGGTCTAAAACATGTGTCACACAGTGCTCTGTCTGTCACAAGGTGTTTCACCTGAAATGTGTAGGCTTAAAAAGGCACCCTGGTGAGCAATGGTTTTGTTCACTTTGTTCACCATAATCCAAAAAAATGTGAATTCATACACAACCTTCCTAGTAATTTGTTAAAATTGTTATTTTAATAATACGTTCAATCAATTGCAGGACAACAAATATTCTCATTAACAAACAAATGTTTAATAATTGTTGATTATGATCATTTAATTTAATAATTGTAAATGTAATAATTGTAAAAATGATCATTTAAGACCAAACATTTATCCAATAGAAATCTATATACAATAGATATACAGAATGATGTACACAATCATTCAATAACAAAATAAAAGGTTTTTAACCACCTGTCAGTGTCTCATGGTTTTTTTTTTTACTGAATTAATGACTTGTCCAAATTCGATAATGCAGAACAAACCATGAAAAATTTTATCCACAGTTGCCACAGTGTCTACTGATCTTCGCTTCACCAAGTTTACAGGGAGTGTTTGTTTCAGAATGCAGTACTTTTTAATTCGACCAATAGCTCTTTCCACGTAAATCCTCAACCTTGACATTTGACGTGACAGACACTTCTTGTCCTGAAAGCTGCGTCTTTCCACGGGTTGAAGCTGGTATGAGTAGCTGGACTCCTTTTGCAGCAAAATACTCAGGGAAACTGAACCCTCTGTCAGCCATGACAATGTCTCCCTCTTCCAAAAGATCAATTAAACCAGATGATTTTGTGATTGTTTTGTCACTGGCTCTACCACCCCAAGACTTGGAAAGGAATGTGATTGACCCCGTTGGACTGATGCCAACCAGGAATTTGATGGTGTTGTGGGACTTATAGTTGGAGTATGTCATTGTTCTTGCACTGAGTGATGTTGGTCGGTCAATAAAAATCTCGCTGCAGTCTATGATATCTCACTGAATTGAATGGGGGGGTTTTGAACAAGTCAGGAAGATTTTTTTTAATCTCTTCCCTAGAAGGCCAACGAATTAGCGAGCTGAAACGCTGTGTCATCACGTTTAACCAGTCGTGAAATATTGCAGAGATTGTAGCACAACTGCAATGAAACCTGAAGGCAAGATCTTTATGAGTGAGGCCAAGTCTCAGTTTCATTAAGACCAAGTAAAACTGGAGAGGTGTTGGAGGACTATGTGTTCTCGGACTCCAAGCAGTGGTGAGATATGTCAAAAGGGCAAAAAACACTTTGCATGAGCGAAGGCCAGTGTAGAAGTGAATGATTCCATCATGGTTTAAATCCACATCAGATTTCCGTCTTTTCCGCTCACTGGTGAGAGTTTGTACCTTTTTATGTAGGCTTCTCACTTGCTCTTTGTAAGATGTGTTCTGTTTCTGCATATCTTCAATATCACTCATTGTGAGATCTGTTCCAACACACATATCATTGAAGGACTTAACTTGAGTTACATCTATGTCCATGTCCTGCACTTCCTCAGTAGGCTGAACTCCAATGCTCATCTCAGAAACCTGTGACGCCCGTCTCAGAGACCTCTGATACCGGTCCATATTTCTGAAGGTATCAGGTCTGTGAGGAAGCTTTGATGGTATGTAATCTGGATGTAGAGGATCATCTGATGGCTTTCCTAAAGACACAAGTAGAAAAACATTATTGGGATAGGTTATATATTTATATTATATAACGACCAAGAGCATTTTTAATTTAATTATCAATAAACTAGCTAGTTAGCTATCCGTATGACCCCTGCACACTGTCTGTAACACTTTATAACAGGGCTTGTATTGGTTATATTTTAGGTATCATGAACAAATAATTAACATTTTACAGCAAGTCTAATACATTTACAATTGTTAAAAACAGATTTGTTTATTACTTTAAGATGATTTGACTGCTTTTGTCGATCTCTTTATTTATAAATCGCTTTGGATAAAAGCGTTTGCTAAATGATTAAATGTAAATGTTTAAATTTAACAAGTTAATGAGAAATGCAAAAAATAACCATACTGTTATTGTTGAATCCATTAGTGCATGTTGGAATTAACATTAAAAAGCTTAATAAGTGATTAAAAATGTTGTTTATCGTTATATTTCGTAAAATAATGCAGTTAGGTAATGTTACACAATAAAACATTATTGTAAAGTGTTTTACACTGCTGTCAGCTGAATGGATAATTTAGCTAGACAACTAATCTAAAGGCTACTTTTCTATTATAGCCCACAGAACATTTAGAAAACGGAAATAAAAATATCAAAAAGCTAACGTTAGCTATTTGACATTACATGCTATCGAGTTACATGTGAAAACAATGATGGAGCCAAACTGCTAGCTCAAATATTTATTCATCACACTTAACTAATTAACGTATAAAAATACAAATAATTTAGTGACACAAATGTTTACTTACCAGAGATAAAATGTGTGCTGCATATCCTAGAGTTGCTTGTTGGTATCCAGCCTTCTCTCTTCACTGCTGTAATCCAGGCGTCACGCTGATTTTTGTTTTTAGGAAATCTATAAGCTTTAATTTCCAAAAGTAAGTTAGTTCCAGGCCTGAGTGAACAGCCAACAACCGAGCAGCACGCTCCTAATTTAAATTTGGACATGTTTTATCGAATTAGTAAGAAAATAATCGATCAATTACCATAAAAAAAACGCTTCCCGTCTGTTGTTTTGAATGTGCGCGTTAACTAACTGGAAACGTCTGAGGGCCAAACACGTCACTTCCTTCCATCCGCAAATAGCGGTTGAAATGGTCTATAGAGACATAGCTAGAGTCCTTCGGCGTGAAGGAGGTGGTGGTGGGCACAGACAGAGAGGCAGCGCCTCAGAGACATAGATAGACTCCTTCGGCGTGAAGGAGGTGGTGGTGGGCACAGACAGAGAGGCAGCGCCTCATAGAGACATAGCTAGAGTCCTTCGGCGTGAAGGAGGTGGTGGTGGGCACAGACAGAGAGGCAGCACCTCATATAGTCATAGCTAGAGTCCTTCGGCGTGAAGGAGGTGGTGGTGGGCACAGACAGAGAGGCAGCGCCTCATAGAGACATAGCTAGAGTCCTTCGGCGTGAAGGAGGTGGTGGTGGGCACAGACAGAGAGGCAGCGCCTCAGAGACATAGCTAGAGTCCTTCGGCGTGAAGGAGGTGGTGGTGGGCACAGACAGAGAGGCAGCGCCTCAGAGACATAGCTAGAGTCCTTCGGCGTGAAGGAAGTGGTGGTGGGCACAGACAGAGAGGCAGCGCCTCATAGAGACATAGCTAGAGTCCTTTCGGCGTGAAGGAGTTGGTGGTGGGCACAGACAGAGAGGCAGCGCCTCATAGAGACATAGCTAGAGTCCTTCGGCGTGAAGGAGGTGGTGGTGGGCACAGACAGAGAGGCAGCGCCTCATAGAGACATAGCTAGAGTCCTTCGGCGTGAAGGAGGTGGTGGTGGGCACAGACAGAGAGGCAGCGCCTCAGAGACATAGCTAGAGTCCTTCGGCGTGAAGGAGGTGGTGGTGGGCACAGACAGAGAGGCAGCGCCTCATAGAGACATAGCTAGAGTCCTTCGGCGTGAAGGAGGTGGTGGTGGGCACAGACAGAGAGGCTGCGCCTCATAGAGACATAGCTAGAGTCCTTCGGCGTGAAGGAGGTGGTGGTGGGCACAGACAGAGAGGCAGCGCCTCAGAGACATAGCTAGAGTCCTTCGGCGTGAAGGAGGTGGTGGTGTGCAAAGAAAGAGAGGCTGCGCCTCATAGAGACATAGCTAGAGTCCTTCGGCGTGGAGGAGGTGGTGGTGGGCACAGACAGAGAGGCAGCGCCTTATAGAGACATAGCTAGAGTCCTTCGGCGTGAAGGAGGTGTTGGTGGGCACAGACAGAGAGGCAGCGCCTCAGAGACATAGCTAGACTCCTTCGGCGTGAAGGAGGTGGTGGTGGGCACAGACAGAGAGGCAGCGCCTCATAGAGACATAGCTAGAGTCCTTCGGCGTGAAGGAGGTGGTGGTGGGCACAGACAGAGAGGCAGCGCCTCATAGAGACATAGCTAGAGTCCTTCGGCGTGAAGGAGGTGGTGGTGGGCACAGACAGAGAGGCAGCGCCTCATAGAGACATAGCTAGAGTCCTACGGCGTGAAGGAGGTGGTGGTGGGCACAGGTGGTGGAGGTGGCGGTGGAAGGAGGTGGTGGTGGGCACAGACAGAGAGGCAGCGCCTCATAGAGACATAGCTAGTGTCCTTCGGCGTGAAGGAGGTGGTGGGCACAGACAGAGAGGCAGCGCCTCATAGAGACATAGCTAGAGTCCTTCGGCGTGAAGGAGGTGGTGGTGGGCACAGACAGAGAGGCAGCGCCTCATAGAGACATAGCTAGAGTCCTTCGGCGTGAAGGAGGTGGTGGTGGGCACAGACAGAGAGGCAGCGCCTCATAGAGACATAGCTAGAGTCCTTCGGCGTGAAGGAGGTGGTGGTGGGCACAGGTGGTGGAGGTGGCGGTGGAAGGAGGTGGTGGTGGGCACAGACAGAGAGGCAGCGCCTCATAGAGACATAGCTAGAGTCCTTCGGCGTGAAGGAGGTGGTGGTGGGCACAGACAGAGAGGCAGCGCCTCATAGAGACATAGCTAGAGTCCTTCGGCGTGAAGGAGGTGGTGGTGGGCACAGACAGAGAGGCAGCGCCTCATAGAGACATAGCTAGAGTCCTTCGGCGTGAAGGAGGTGGTGGTGGGCACAGACAGAGAGGCAGCGCCTCATAGAGACATAGCTAGAGTCCTTCGGCGTGAAGGAGGTGGTGGTGGGCACAGACAGAGAGGCAGCGCCTCATAGAGACATAGCTAGAGTCCTTCGGCGTGAAGGAGGTGGTGGTGGGCACAGACAGAGAGGCAGCGCCTCATAGAGACATAGCTAGAGTCCTTCGGCGTGAAGGAGGTGGTGGTGGGCACAGACAGAGAGGCAGCGCCTCATAGAGACATAGCTAGAGTCCTTCGGCGTGAAGGAAGTGGTGGTGGGCACAGACAGAGAGGCAGCGCCTCATAGAGACATAGCTAGAGTCCTTCAGCGTGAAGGAGTTGGTGGTGGGCACAGACAGAGAGGCAGCGCCTCATAGAGACATAGCTAGAGTCCTTCGGCGTGAAGGAGGTGGTGGTGGGCACAGACAGAGAGGCAGCGCCTCATAGAGACATAGCTAGAGTCCTTCGGCGTGAAGGAGGTGGTGGTGGGCACAGACAGAGAGGCAGCGCCTCAGAGACATAGCTAGAGTCCTTCGGCGTGAAGGAGGTGGTGGTGGGCACAGACAGAGAGGCAGCGCCTCATAGAGACATAGCTAGAGTCCTTCGGCGTGAAGGAGGTGGTGGTGGGCACAGACAGAGAGGCAGCGCCTCAGAGACATAGCTAGAGTCCTTCGGCGTGAAGGAGGTGGTGGTGGGCACAGACAGAGAGGCAGCGCCTCAGAGACATAGCTAGAGTCCTTCGGCGTGAAGGAGGTGGTGGTGTGCACAGACAGAGAGGCAGCGCCTCATAGAGACATAGCTAGAGTCCTTCGGCGTGAAGGAGGTGGTGGTGGGCACAGACAGAGAGGCAGCGCCTCATAGAGACATAGCTAGAGTCCTTCGGCGTGAAGGAGGTGGTGGTGGGCACAGACAGAGAGGCAGCGCCTCAGAGACATAGCTAGAGTCCTTCGGCGTGAAGGAGGTGGTGGTGGGCACAGACAGAGAGGCAGCGCCTCATAGAGACATAGCTAGAGTCCTTCGGCGTGAAGGAGGTGGTGGTGGGCACAGACAGAGAGGCAGCGCCTCATAGAGACATAGCTAGAGTCCTTCGGCGTGAAGGAGGTGGTGGTGGGCACAGACAGAGAGGCAGCGCCTCATAGAGACATAGCTAGAGTCCTTCGGCGTGAAGGAGGTGGTGGTGGGCACAGACAGAGAGGCAGCGCCTCATAGAGACATAGCTAGAGTCCTTCGGCGTGAAGGAGGTGGTGGTGGGCACAGACAGAGAGGCAGCGCCTCATAGAGACATAGCTAGAGTCCTTCGGCGTGAAGGAGGTGGTGGTGGGCACAGACAGAGAGGCAGCGCCTCATAGAGACATAGCTAGAGTCCTTCGGCGTGAAGGAGGTGGTGGTGGGCACAGACAGAGAGGCAGCGCCTCATAGAGACATAGCTAGAGTCCTTCGGCGTGAAGGAGGTGGTGGTGAGCGCAGACAGAGAGGCAGCGCCTCATAGAGACATAGCTAGTGTCCTTTGGCGTGAAGGAGGTGGTGGGCACAGACAGAGAGGCAACGCCTCATAGAGACATAGCTAGAGTCCTTTGGCGTGAAGGAGGTGGTGGTGGGCACAGACAAAGAGGCAGCGCCTCATAGAGACAGCTAGAGTCCTACGGCGTGAAGGAGGTGGTGGTGGGCACAGGTGGTGGAGGTGGCGGTGGAAGGAGGTGGTGGTGGGCACAGACAGAGAGGCAGCGCCTCATAGAGACATAGCTAGAGTCCTTCGGCGTGAAGGAGGTGGTGGGCACAGACAGAGAGGCAGCGCCTCATAGAGACATAGCTAGAGTCCTTCGGCGTGAAGGAGGTGGTGGTGGGCACAGACAGAGAGGCAGCGCCTCATAGAGACATAGCTAGAGTCCTACGGCGTGAAGGAGGTGGTGGTGGGCACAGGTGGTGGAGGTGGCGGTGGAAGGAGGTGGTGGTGGGCACAGACAGAGAGGCAGCGCCTCATAGAGACATAGCTAGAGTCCTTCGGCGTGAAGGAGGTGGTGGGCACAGACAGAGAGGCAGCGCCTCATAGAGACATAGCTAGAGTCCTTCGGCGTGAAGGAGGTGGTGGTGGGCACAGACAGAGAGGCAGCGCCTCATAGAGACATAGCTAGAGTCCTTCGGCGTGAAGGAGGTGGTGGTGGGCACAGACAGAGAGGCAGCGCCTCATAGAGACATAGCTAGAGTCCTTCGGCGTGAAGGAGGTGGTGGTGGGCACAGGTGGTGGAGGTGGCGGTGGAAGGAGGTGGTGGTGGGCACAGACAGAGAGGCAGCGCCTCATAGAGACATAGCTAGAGTCCTTCGGCGTGAAGGAGGTGGTGGTGGGCACAGACAGAGAGGCAGCGCCTCATAGAGACATAGCTAGAGTCCTTCGGCGTGAAGGAGGTGGTGGTGGGCACAGACAGAGAGGCAGCGCCTCAGAGACATAGCTAGAGTCCTTCGGCGTGAAGGAGGTGGTGGTGGGCACAGACAGAGAGGCAGCGCCTCATAGAGACATAGCTAGAGTCCTTCGGCGTGAAGGAGGTGGTGGTGGGCACAGACAGAGAGGCAGCGCCTCATAGAGACATAGCTAGAGTCCTTCGGCGTGAAGGAGGTGGTGGTGGGCACAGACAGAGAGGCAGCGCCTCATAGAGACATAGCTAGAGTCCTTCGGCGTGAAGGAGGTGGTGGTGGGCACAGACAGAGAGGCAGCGCCTCAGAGACATAGCTAGAGTCCTTCGGCGTGAAGGAGGTGGTGGTGGGCACAGACAGAGAGGCAGCGCCTCATAGAGACATAGCTAGAGTCCTTCGGCGTGAAGGAGGTGGTGGTGGGCACAGACAGAGAGGCAGCGCCTCATAGAGACATAGCTAGAGTCCTTCGGCGTGAAGGAGGTGGTGGTGGGCACAGACAGAGAGGCAGCGCCTCATAGAGACATAGCTAGAGTCCTTCGGCGTGAAGGAGGTGGTGGTGGGCACAGGTGGTGGAGGTGGCGGTGGAAGGAGGTGGTGGTGGGCACAG